GGGAGAGGAAGAAGGGACGTACAAGGCTGGATTCCTGAATTTAATGGCAGTTTGGATGGAAGACTGCAGGCTAATTACTCCTTGGTTTAAAGAATGTCTCAGGAGAAAGAATGGTGCCATGAGAGCCTCATTTGTAGATGCTTCTGATTAGATGCTTGTTTTGCAAGAAGTATAACATTCACCTGCTACAGGTGGACATCCCACAGGGGAAGTGACAGCTCTCTTCCACATTAAGTCTAATGATTCAGAGTGAGATTGGTAAGAGACAATGGCAGACAGAAAGCTGTATCTACAGCCTTGTGTCTGACAAGCTCTGAATATCTTTTGTTGACAAAGATAGTATTCTGGTGCACCTGATGATAGTACTAGAGACACCTTGGCCTTGCTCTGCAGAGCCCCATGAGCAGCCCAACAGGTGTGCTGTGGAAGGTCCTCTTCGGTGGCCAGCTGGACTGCTGGACATCACCTGCTTCCTGACCTCCAGCAGTGGCTTCTGCCCCTAATCTACAGGTACAGCCCTGGCATGTGTTGTGAGATCAACTCAGGACTTAGATAAGGGGGACTGGAGACACTCAGGTTAAAGGCTGAGGGTTCTCAGCATCATGTCATCTCAGCTCTTGCCTTGGGCGATTAGAGGATCTGGGGTTATCCTGCCTGCCTGTGTACTCTCTCCCCACCAAGCATAGCCCCACATTGAGGGTGCTCATGTTGGAATTTTATCTGGTCCTCCTGTCTCCAGTCCCTATTTTCATACCATCCGTTAACTCATACCAGAGGCACAAGTCCCTGAGGGGGTGGCAGGAATCCTAGTGTGTCTAAGCCTGCAGGGCCCAGGCAAGGACAGTAGGGAGGCTGCTCTGCTATTTCTTCATCTCCTCTTCACCTTCACAGTCCTCTCCCAGAGACTCAAACTCTTTCTACTTGGGTCCAGGATTTGCAAGCTGACCCTGGAAAAGTTACTTTAGGGGAATTTGCAAAGCACTCCTGGGTAGGGTATTATGGCTTAAATGAAGTCACTGCAGCAAGGCCCCAATTCAAAGAATGGACAAAGGACTGATTAATATAAGATTAATAGGGAAAAAAGGAATTATAAAGGGAGCTGTCCCCAGCACTTCAAACCTGGAGCTGGCCTAAGATGACTCATTTCTTCTGTTGATCCTCACTATGAATGAGTCTGCCCAGGATGCATCTTAATTATTATTTCATAGATGAGGAAGCTGAGGCTCAGAAAACCTGAGTGATTTGCTCAAGGTCCCCCAATTTTATGGAATAGGGGGTTTGTCCCAAAGCCCTTCTTGTGCAGAGTGACAATGATCATTGGGTATGGCCAAGGCAGTGAGTCACATCTGCCCCTGGAGGTGACCTTTAGTGCAACAACTCTGGGCTCCAAACTGCAGACTGTCCATCTCATACTGGGTCTAGAGGAGAGGCCTGGCTGAGCTATAGGAAGACTGAGAAGAGGCATTACTCACTCCTATACAGGAGGGCCTGGGGCAGACCAAGTCTTGTCAGGGGAAATACCAAAGAATTAGTCACTTGGCTACTGCAGTCTCAAGTCAACCCAGTCCAGAAAATTGCCAATCCTGGCTAGAGAGGCTTCTGCTGCCTATTTATCTCAATGTAAGCATCCCTGGCCTCTACCCAGCAGATGTCTGTTACCCCAACCATTGACATTCTCAAGACACTGACACATGTCCAGGAAGGAGGAGCAGAATGACTTGTGGAGCGTTGACTCTGTGCATATGCTGTTCTGCTCACCAAGTGGGGACCAAGAGGACTGGCAGTCAGTCGCTAAGCCAACGGTGATTTCTGAGCACTTGAAATGTGGCTAGAGTGATAGAGGAATTGAATTTTAAAGCTCACTTTATTTCAACTAACTTACACTTAAAAACTGCAGCAGTGACAATGATGTTTACTTGTTGCACACAGTTTTCATCGTTTTACGGCTGTATTTCATTTTAACCATTGAAAGCTTAGAATTTGAATAGAGATGAGCTCTCAATGTGAACAACATGCCAGATTTCAGACTGAGTGCAGAAAAGAATGTAAGATATCATTCATTAATAGTTACTTTAGTACACGCCTGCAGAACATAATGACTACATTTATTGTGGGGAGATGAAACATGTACAGAACACATCTTAATTCTTGCTTTTTATCACCTTCCCATCCCCCCTCCCACTCGCCAGTTTTTTAAAATATTAGCTACCTCTTAAAAGGATGCTATTTTGTGAATACTAAGTTAAATAAATTATATTATTAAATTGATGTTTTCTATTTTACTTTCCAAATGTCACTCCAAAAATTAAAAATTATATCTATGCATCGAATTCTATTTCTATGGAACAGCGCTTCTCTGGAGGTTCTTAAGAGAGGATGATCTCATACCCCAGGGAACATTTGAGTATGTCTGGGGATATATTTGCTAGTCACACTGAAGTTGTTACATTCTCGGCATCTCCTGGGAATAAACTAGGGATGCTGCTAAACATCCTACAGGGCACAGAATAGCCCTAAAAAATTTCTAACGCTGCATATTGAGAGTGATATTAAGATACTAAGGTGTCTAAGGTTAGACCCTTTGCTCTGGATTCTAGAACATAAAGTCCTTGAAGGAAAGTATACCTAGTGGGAGTTAGCGGGGAAGGAAGTAAGAGCTATAATCACACCTAGTTTTTATGGTTCAATATGGTTGTGGGTATCACCATTCCCATTTCTTCAGATGAAGACAACAGGGTCCAGAGAAGAGAAATAACTTACTAACGATCACCAGACAGGAAATGGCAGAGCTGAGAGCCAAACTCAGCCTCAGCTCATCCCCAAAGCCAGCTGTCCCTGAGACCTCCTGTGGCTGTGCAGGTACCCAGGCTGAAGCTTCTATGAATAGAGTGGTTCTTGCTTACATTCTAATATCCCCACCACTCGGAGCCAGGCAGTTATTATTTACATCAGCCGTTACTGCTACCAGGGTACAGACATTAATAAAAACACCCTTTGAAAGAGACAGGCTGCTCAAAGAGAAAGACTCACAGGCACCTCAGCCATCAAATGAAGGCTGAGAAAAGGGTGGAAATAAATGGGACGCAACGGAATAAACCTGTCAGAGCAGCAACATTCAGACACCTTGGAAGGTACGAGATAAAAACAAATGTGCCTGATATGGGATCGACTCTGCTTAAAGAAAACATTATCTGATGGCTCCCATGAAAGAAACTCAGAGCAAAAAGGCCAGCAGAAATGGAGCTGTACATACACACTCCAGAGAAGCATGGTTTCTCCGTGAAACAGGTGTGGGCATAGTGTCAAGAATCACTCCTCTCTCATTGTCTCTCTGCATGTTCCCATGTTCCATCTGTGACTCACCTCCTTTGGGGCAGGGTGAGGTTGCCACTGCACAGGTTCTCTAGGGTTACGGAATGTAATCTTTCTTTAATATGACCTTATAAGGTAAGTGTGATGATTAGTTTTCCAGGTGAAATAAGGCTATCTGACTTCTGAGGATCTAAGAGGTGGAGCATTTGAGGAGTTGGCAGAGACATACTGATTCACAACAGTACAAGGCAGAGACAGAACTGGGCCATAGTGAGTGGGATGGAAGCTCTACTCAAATCTTCTTTACCAGCCCGGTGCACCTATTCTTTAGCTGTGGTGGGTGCTGGCTGCAAATTGCTCACAATACCTCCTGCCCTGGAGAAGTTTCATCAGGCTAAGGGAATCACTTCCTCAGGGGATCATGCACTTCCTAGCAACCCAGAGCCAATGGCTGACGGACACCACGATATAAATGCTGTTCCCCTTTCCTGAAGGAAAAGAATAATTTAATCCAGAGATCCCTGTGGGCTCAGACTGATGCAGGTCTCCATATCATTCCCTAGCTTCCCTTGACCCACCGCATGCTCCTCCCTTTCGTTCTTCTGAGACCATCTCTCAGTGAACAGGATGCACAATAATCCCCATCACATGCTCAGTGTTCAGGGGACCCATTCTGAGATGTTTGCTAGTTATGATGTGTCTGCAATTAGGGCAGGAGGTAGCAAGAGTGCACAGGGAGGATAGCAAGTGGCTGGACTCATGTCATCACTACCGGGTCTCCTTTCTTTCCCACTTTGATAAACTGACCAGTTGCAGACTGGTAGGGAGGAAGGCATTGTCTGGGAAAGGACTGTGAGAGTGGTGACAGTTAAACGCTTGAAATCTCCAAGAAACTTCCCACTGAGCACAATGGGTCCCTGAAGGAGATCCGTGGGTTAGTGGATTGCCTTTCACCTCTAGGGCCATATAATATGCTTCAAATATTTAGTCTAGACTGGGCCTTCTCAAAGCAGCTCCTTTGATATTTATCATCTTGTTTAGCATGAACACACCTTTAAAAGACTCTGCATACGTAAAAATCTACAGTGCAAATAGTGTCTTCTAAGAGGTAGGTATTATTGCTCCTACTCAACAGGTAGGAAAAGTGGGGCTGACCACATTTAAAGGATGTGTCAGGACCAAGAGTATACCTGAGATTGTGGCCAGATTTCCTAAGTACAGACTTGTTAGGTCAATTCTTTTCCAACCTCAGATCACAGCTCAGTTATCACTTCCCTTCTGAAGGTGTGGATCCCTCAGATCCAGGTATGTTTATTTTTCACACCATGACCTGTGCTTTGTAGCATTACTCATAATTGCAAATTTCTTTGTATAACTTTTTGACCAATGACTGCTTCTCCTTCTACAAGGTCCTATGAGCATGCAGTATATGCTTGTCCTTATTATTATATTCCTCAGTATATAGAACACTGCCTAACACATATTAGGTATTTAGTAAACATTAGTAAAGCTAAATGAATAGATGAGTGAGTGGATGGACAGATAGAGGAATGCATGGGTGGATGGGTGGATGGATGGTGGGTGGATGAGAGGGTGGAATGCAGGTACTTCCAGTTCCTCTCTGGTGCAGCCACTGTGTATGGGCCACTCTTCATCCCCTCCCACCTGCCCAGGGCTCTGATGATCACCTGTGGTGAGGAGGCAGAGTGGAGTCCCCGGGGTCACCTGGGCGCTGCCCATTGGTGCTGACCACAAGGAAGCCAATCCCCAGGCAGCATGCAGGAGAGAAGGAGAGAAAGAAACACGTGAAAACGTGAGGTACGGTGAACAAAACTGCAAATTTTGTGGCTCTGAAGAGCTCACACTAAACAGCAAAAGAATACCATGATTTAACAAAATAGGGGCCTGAAATAGATTTTTAAAAATGAAACAAGACTAAAATCCACCATTTATCAAGCACCCACGACATGCCAGGTATTCTGCCAAGTTCCTCACACACAGTGTTTCTACGACTTAGGACGACTCATGAAGGTCAGTAGTATTATAAATGAATGTGTCATTTTTCCAGCCAAATTTCATTTCCTCCAGTCCTCCCTTTGTAAATGATGCCACGACCCATGTAGCAAGCTTCTTAGTCTAGAAATCTAGGAGTCCCCTTTACTCATTATTTTACATATCTCCTATTTATAGTCAACCACCAGGTCTTATTAATTTTACACAAGAAAATCTTAAGGTTCCTCTTTCTCCCCAGTATCATTCTCTCTTAGTTTAATCCACCCTTGTATTTTTACTTGAGTCATTTAGGCAGCTTCAATTCTTTTCTCCTTACCTCCAGGCTTGCTTTCCTTCTACCTGTTCTCTCCCATTGGTTGAAACATATTAGTGCCCTGATTGTCCTTAGGGTAACTTAAAAACCCTTAACACAGCTCATAGACCCTCAGAAATGAGTCTCCTGCCCGCCCTTCCAGCCTTGTCTCTCTCCACCTGCACTACCATATTCTCTGTTCTTCCCAACTACAATAAACAACTTTCCTGGCCAACAGTTCCCTCTCTTCTTGTCTAGACTAAAACCTTGCATAGAACATACTTCTTCCTTCTTCCTCACCTGGCTGCAAGTACTCATCCTTCAGGTATCAGTTTGGAACTCTTCCATCTAGAGAAACTTTAGTGTCTCTTTCTCTGTCTTCGTGTAACACCCCATTAATCCCTTATCACAGCAGTAACCTCCACTCTAAGTGGAACCTTTGCCTTAATTTTGTAGTCTCCTTGAAGGTGGACAGTGTGCCTCCTTTACTAGTGTACTCCTGTGGCCTTCTATTGTATCTGGCACATAGTAGGTATTCAGTGAATATCTGTTGTATAAGTGAAAGAATGCATAAAGAAGTGGTGAATCCAAGAATATAATTTGCTCAAGATCACAAAATTAGTACCTGGCAGAGGCTATATTCAGACCCTGGTTTGCTTGGCTTTAATGTTCCAGCCATTCCAATCCTACCACCTGCCTCTGAAGAAAGTGAGGCAGTAGCCTGGAAAGTGTCTTATGCTTGATCAGAGGCTACATGCTTTTCTAGTCATTCATCAACGAAACTGCAAAAGGTCCTTATGCAAAATAGAGAGAGAGGTGGGACACTGCAGACTAAGTGGTAAATAGGAAATTCATCATTTCAGAAATAATGCAAGTGGCAAGCTTGATCAACAACCACGAGATATTATAAAATACAGCCACCCTTAAACAGTAATCATAATACTTCTCCCTTGAAGATATGTGTAACTTTGTCCTTTTGAAGACATTTTAAGTAAGGGATCAGCAAACTATAGCTTATGGGTGAAATCCAGTCCCTACCACCTATTTCCTGTGTGACACAGCATGTTTTTAACATTTTTAAATATTTGTAAAAAAATATGAGTAATATTATGTGACAAACGAAAAATGGTATAAAATTTGAATTTTAGTGTCTATAAATAAAATCTTATTGCAACACAATTATATTTATATGTATTATCTATGATTGCTTTTGTGCTTTAATGATAAACTTGATAGGTGGGACAAACACCATTAGGTCTGCAAAGCTGAAAATATTTACTATCTAGTCTTTTGCAGAAAAGTGCTAACCCCTGTCATAAGTGGTCATTTATATTAGCCCCGTTCGATTTTTTTGAGGCTGGCAAGACAAGATTCTCAATTTCACATGTCAGAAAAAGAAACGACTCGAGAGAAGAAATGACTCCCGTATCATGACCTGGCCTCTTTTCGCAGCCTCCTAATTGTTCTCATTCTGCACCCTCGCTTCTGCCTTCGTCTTCTCTCAGCCATTGTCTAAGCTGCAACTACAATGATTTTTAGTACTTCCAGGGCTCCCCCTGTCTCGAAATGATGGCCACAAAAATACTATGGGCTTTGCGGAGTCCTGGGTGACCTGGCTACTCATGCCACTTCTGCTTCTCCTCTGACTGTCCCAGCCTCCTCTGGTTACGCTTGCATGCTCGCGGTCCAGCCTTTGCTTTGTCCCATTCAAATCTGGCCCCAGACTTTTCTTGCCTCCAGTCATTTGCATGTCCACTGCTTTGACTTGGAAGACCATCCTACCTTGCTCTCCAGCCTTATTCAACAGGATACTTATCAAGTTTTTTTCCAAAACATGGCTTAGTGTCCACACACCATGAGAAAACATATATGTTGATTTACATTTCCCTTCTCCATGCTCTGCTGGCATCCTGCACTTACCTTCATCATAGCCCTGTTGACACCATATTAGTATACATTAGTTGGTTCTTTCACCAGCTACTACATTTTGAGTGCTTATTATACACCAGATCTTGCACTAACCACTTTAAATCCATGAGCTCATCAAGTTCTTGCATTAGCCTTATGATATAAATGGTGTTATCGTCGTGGGTTTATAAATAGTGCAAATGAGACAAGGAGCAGCTAAGTGACTTTTGCTGTCTGAAATCTAAGAGTGTCCAAATCCAAAGATGAAATTCTTAACTTCTGGGGAACGAGGAGCACATGTCAATATTAGTTGCACTCAATAAATATTTGCTAAAATCTAACTGAATGTGTGAAAATCTGGGTCCATACTTTTTTGTTTTACTTACTAGCTGTATCACTTGAAAAAAACATATATTTCTAATTTTCAGTTTATCTATGAAGTGGGGTAATGCTAAGTATCTCATGAAGTGATTTAAGAATTAGAAAGAAAACAACGAAAAGGATTAGTTTCATCGGCAGGTCTAGAAAGAGTGTCTCCCTTCCTCACCCTCTAAGGTGACAATCCATGATCTGCTTAGCTTCAATGTTCAGCTTGCAGGTATAAGAACAGCCGGACAGCCGGACAGGTGTAAGGGCAGGAAGAGATTTTCCTAGAGGGTGGAGAGGCAGAAGAGAAGTAATGCATCGTGGCTGGGCCTCAACAGCACACAAGAGGAAGCCAAAACAGGAAAAGGTGTTCTATATGCTAGGGATGACTACAGCTAACCAACATCATTTCCACTTCTTAGCGGTATAGAACATAGGTAGTTATCTTGCAGGGAGGCTGTATCATGTGACAGCTCCTCATTAAAGCCATGGAAATGAAGTGGCATGATTCATTTCCAAGTGAGATGTTTGAGATCAAAATTATTACCTGCACAGTTTCTTTTTCTCTACTGTGGTTACATATATTATAGATGACATGGCAACAAATAAACCTGCGTGGTATTAAGCTACTGAGATTTGGGTATTGATTAGTTATGGCAACAAAGCCTGCCTTTTCTTGACTAATCCAGATGGAGGAGATGGAAGTGGTCTCTTGGTTTCTCCTATATCACCCAGTTCCCCACCATATAACTTTTTTACTGGAAGATTCATGACCCTATCTCTTTGCAGTTCCCAGGCGCTGTTTTGTGTATTTATGCCTATATGTCAGCAATGAATTAAATAATTGAAACCATGAAAAAAAGGATGCAAGAAAATGAAGTTTCTCAGACTTCCTTTGTGATTTTTTCTCTTCTAAAGCAGTGAATATCAAGGGCAGAGAGATATTGCTGAGCTACAGACAGCCCCGGAGCAGACAGCCCTGAAGACAAACTTATTTCTTGGTTTATTAGCTTCTTTGGTGTGTAAGGGAAAAAAGCTAGGGGCTCTTTGAGTGATCTCATCTTGGGCTCCAGATTCCATATCTTAACTTGGGCACCACTGAAAAGAAGCCAAAGACTGTCATACCCTAAAATTTGTATTATCAGTTGTTATTGGATTAGGGCTGTGGGAAGAGGCTAACCATGAAGAAACAAAATCTTAACAGTAGTCCATGGATTCTCACCCAGTCTATGGTATTAACTAGAGTCAAGTCATACCATGAATCAGATCTGAGTTACAGTTCTTAGGAACCTTGAGCTCTTTATTTATCTCTTCTTTACTCGTATGGCTTCATTTCTTCAGTAGAATAATAATGATGACCACCATTTATTTATTACATGTTATGTGGCAGACTTCACTTCTATTATATCATTCTAAGTTCATGTCCACAAATGCATCTCTGAGACTGGTACACAGTAGGTGATTATTTTTTGAAAACCTCTTTTTCTCCCATTTGAACATTACATTGAGATCTTACCAATGTGGCTCAAAATATCTTCATTTTGTACCCTATTTCTAGCTTATTTTCCTAATTTCCTAATTTTTCAAATTTTCCTCTTCCCTAACTCCCTACTGTAAGTGGGTTCATTTTCCTTTTGTAAGATATGTCTTCTTCAGAACCACAGCCTTGATCCAAAGTCAACACAGATGTGTCAGGTCTGAAGTAGATAATTCTTATTTCTCATTGACAGGGATGGATTGGGACTCCTCAGGAATGTTCTGGGAGGCTAAGAGCTGGTGTTTGCTTCTCCTGGACTCTATCGGACCAGCTTTGGTTTTCCTGAGTGGGGTGTGGAGGAGAAAAGGATAGGAGAAGGACAAAGAGACTACAGAAATGTGCCAGAAAGCAAGAAAAATATGTATTTGAAGTTCACCTTTATGTTAATTTGTGGTGTCCTTACCATATAGTATAGTCTTCTTCCACCTTCTCACACACACAAAAAAAGCCATATTGTTTCATTAATGCTTTAGGACCCAGAAGATGTAGTAAGAGCAAAAATGACCTAGGTTCAAGGAGATCTTGTTATAATTGTGCAATCTCAGTGCACTCAACCCGAGAAATTAATCTCCTTGTACTTTGTTGAGGAAGAATAGAAGTGTCCTGCTCCAACTCTCCAAACACATACT